GTTACAAAGACTCGAATTTCAGCTGATGGCTAAATATAACCGTGCTTGAGGAAGGGGGTGCGTAAAAACGGGAAAATAGTTCAGAACCGTTGCCCATATAAAAGATCAGTGCTTGGTGGACTGTCTGTTTACCTCTAAAATAGCATAAAGTTGGGCAGACATGGAGCTGGCCAGATGGTTTGAAATGAGATCTGCTGTAGTAAACAGCTTTCTGCGCATGAAATCGATTCAAGAAAAAAATCTGGATTATTTCTTGATTAGCACTCACCGCAGCTAGTTAGAGCGTTGGACTACTAATGAACAGGTCACCTGTTCGAGCCTCGGGAGGTTGCACTCCCTGAGATCACATATCTTTGACTGATGATCGTTATTGACCCAGAAACGGCCTTTCCCGTCTCCCTAGTCTTTGTTTGCAATGTTCGTTTGCCTAAAATCAACAACCCCAAATGTGTGCCCCCCTAAAGTTCGATTTCTACATTTAATGAGTTAGGCAATCTTCTCTACTTGGTGACCGCCTAGTGGACTGGCCTCATCATCCTCAGTGTCGGTCAATTGCGCATATTTTCGCACGCTTCTGCTAATGTTCGTCGCACCGCCCGCTGTATGGCGCACTCGTAAATATTTGCGAATTTGGGTACGAGCGTGTGAATGCAACGCTACTTGACTTCAGACCGGAACTTCAGCTGCGAGAAAAGGCGCACTTTAGACGCACAGCATAAACGAGTTCCTTTGCATTAGCGTGCACTCAGCAGGTGGCCGAAACTGAAGAGATTAACATCGGCGACCGGGGAGTTTTCACCCGCGCACTTTCCTCGGCATCCGGCGCCTAGTACCGCAACAATGACGTTTTTTTCTCAGTCAGTGTTAGTTAGTACTCGGTAGCCTCTCAAAATTACGTCCTTGTCAAAGAAAGTTTGGACTACAACTGTGGAGAGGAGGTTATTTATGTCAGCACTGAATGAGTTGTAGTTAGCATGCAAGGTGTGACCACTAGGCTGATTTATCTGCATCCAGAGGACTGGATCATTCGATTAAATCTCCAAGTTGCACTTCTCGACCGCGGCCTTGAAAACACGAAGCACTATTCTCACCTAAATCCGGTACCTTTGGAGTCCCCTTCTTAATCACCTACTTTACGCCCACTTTCGCTGATTCTGTCGGCCGGCGAGATGGCAACCACGTGAATTTTTTCTTGCGTCAGTACTAGCTAACTTCGTACGGGGTTCAGAAGTAGAAGAAGGGACAGTCTACTTATCAAAAACTACAACTGGTCCACCTGAACGATGCCTACTTGTGCTGTAGGAAATGAGCGTCGTCCTACTTTGGCTTTTTCAGAATTTCGCACATCAAGTACGGGAATAAAATTCCGCTCGTCGTACTTTGCCACCTTTGACCCATTCCCCACCTCTGTCAGCAAGAATTCCAAGAAGTCCGAGAGTTTCCCTGTCCTTGACAGATATCTGCTACTGGTCATCTGATAGCAGCAAAACCATATGAATTTAAAGCACTCTCGCCACTACATTTTCGTCCGAACCTTTGAGGGTGTTTACATTTCAGCGGACCAGGTCCTCTCTAACGCCTTCTGTTATCAGCGTTATGTGAGACCCTTTCCCTCGTTTTCTCTCTCCATCTCTTTTTCAAAGGCCGCAGGATCTTTGAGTGTCAGGAAGTGAACTGTGCATCGCAGTTTCATCATCTACTGAGCTTGTGTGTTTTTCAATTTGCGGCTCGTTGCATTTCTTGTCAGATGGTGGCAAGTCAATTTGCCGTTCAGTCAGCAGCTCATGCCACGCGGCAATTAGTTGCGGTCGTTGTTGCACTTTCTTCGCACAATTCGGTAGTTGTCTCCGCC